GTACCCCTACCCCCCACACACAGTACCCCTACCCCACACACACAGTACCCCTACCCCCCGCAGCACCCTTACACATATAGCACACACACAGCACCCCCCCCACACACACACACACACAGCACCCCTCACATACAACACTCACACACACACGCACCCCCCACCTCAATGCAGTATGTGTGTATTCAGCAGTCTGTGTGTGTGTGCGTGTATTCAGCAGTCTGTCTGTGTTTGCGTGTATTCAGCTGTCTGTGTTTGCGTGTATTCAGCTGTCTGTGTTTGCGTGTATTCAGCTGTCTGTGTTTGCGTGTATTCAGCTGTCTGTGTTTGCGTGTACTCAGCAGTCTGTGTGTGTGTACTCAGCAGTCTGTGTGTGTGTACTCAGCAGTGTGTGTGTGTACTCAGCAGTGTGTGTGTGTGTACTCAGCAGTCTGTGTGTGTGTACTCAGCAGTCTGTGTGTGTGTACTCAGCAGTCTGTGTGTGTGTGTGTACTCAGCAGTCTGTCTGTATGTGTATTCATCAGTCTCTGTATTCAGCAGTCGTGTGTGTGTGTGTGTATTCAGCAGACTGTTTGTATGTATTCAGCAGTCTGTGTATGTATTGCATTTGTTGGAGATACTAATAAATATAAGCTTAATTTTATCTATTTATATCATTATTTAAAATTTGTATCATTGAACTCTCTGTGTTCTTTTAAAACAAAAGTTATTAGTTCGGACAACAGTACGAGTTGTTTTTTTCTAAACTTAAACCTCAGTATTTTGGTTTAATTGCCGTGTTGGCACTTTAAGGAGAAAAAATGTTGGCATGTATTGCGGTTTGGGCACTCGGGCTCAAAAAGGTTCGCCATCACTGTACTAGGGTGATGTCACTGGAACCATGAGGGTCTCCCCCGGATTCCAGCGCCATCTTGTTGCACGAGGTAGTTAGTCGGTGTTATAGGAAGAGAGGGGTTAGAAGCTTCTAGTGGCCATTTTGTCTAAATATGCGTGAATAGCTTATACACTGATTTCAGTTAAATGAGTAAATAGGCATTTTACTAACTAGAAAATATGTCAATATCTCATTTCCACAACAGTTGATAATAAAGTTTTTTTTCTTTTTTATTCCTTGAGGCACCTAGAATACTGACATTCTACTTTCTGCCGAAAGTCCACAAGTCCGCCATTAATCTTTGTTGATTAATGATATAGGTCTGTAGTTACCAATCAATTCTGGGTCTTTATCTACTTTTGGGATTGGGACAAGTTATTATTATTTTATTATTTATATAGCGCCATCAGATTATTCGCACTGTACAATGAGTGGACTAACAGACATGTAATTGTAATCAGACAACTGGATGTATAGGAACAGAGGGGTAGAGGGCCCTGCTCAAAGAGCTTACATGCTAGATTCGCTCTCAACAGTTCTCCAGGACAGCTTCCTGTTTTCATTATGTAGTTAAAGATATTGGTGAGTTCTCCTTTTAGATGATTGTGGCAAACCCTGCCACTGAAATACGAACTGTTCTGTGCGAATGAACACTGGAGTTATTATAAGCGAATATGTGCAAAAGCAGAGACTCAATTCACGAACGGACTATACTGTTATTCATGCTGTTATTCATGCGAATGCCCTGAAACTACCGAACGAGAGACCACCCCGGGGTGGTTGTGTGTCTCCTATTAACCAAAGATACAATGTTGCGAAGTGTGTTAGGTGCGAGTGTGTGTGGCCGCCATTTCGCCTACCGAACACGTGGCTGCGGCCATCTTACGCATGAACAGCGGTACTTGGTCGAACGCCTGGAACTCAAACTGGCATTCGACTAACCAAGTACCGCTGAGACCTCCAGCACGCTCAAAAAGCACAAAGCAAACACACAAACACTTTGGCATTCGGTATGTGGAATCCCACGAACGAGGGGATTCGTTCGAACGGTAAAAGAAGCCTGGATGCCTCAGCCGTTCGGGACTTTTGATTCACTAGAAAAGACCGACCGCAGGGCCAGAATTCATGGAACTGTTTTCGGCTACTGAGCCCGTGCGGTCTCCGAAAGGAGAGGGTATGTGAATATACCCGAACGGATAGTGAATGGGGACAGATTATACAAGCTTGAAACGGACCACGCTAAAAGAACTACTGGAAGCAAGGGGAATTATTGCCAGCAATAAAGCCAAAGCCACCCTTATTGCCGAACTCATGGAGGGAGACCGGGCAGCTGCTGCAGCACCTCTTATGGACAGCACACAGACAGAGTTTGGAAGAGAACTCAAAAGCAGACTGGCCTTTTTCCCAGGAACACCTCCCATAGAACGTATGCAGAGAAGGTGGTAGCAGGATCAGTACCCATGACCATCACGCAATTAGTCGTTCCTAAAAAGTACAGGCAGGAGTTATTACGTATTGCCCACGATATTCCTTTGTCAGGATATCTGGGCGTCAGTAGGACGAAGCATCGTTTGACCCAAAACTTCTTTTGGCCAGGGGTCTCAAAAGATATCCATCAGTATTGCCAAACTTGCGATATGTGCCAGAGAGTAGGGAAGAGAGGGGACCGATACAAGGCAAAAATGTACTCCCTTCCCATAATAGATGAGCCCTTCAGTAGGGTGGCGGAAGCTTAATGACAAGACTATTTCAGATGCCTACCCTATGCCCCGAATCGACGAGCTCCTACATAAAATGGCCAGGGGCCAGTACCTCACCACAATAGACTTGTGCAAGGGGTACTGGCAGATACCACGAGCCGAAGATGCCTAGCAAAACCCAGTCCTTCTGGGAAAAAGTATATTTTAACGGTGGTAGACTACGCTACCCGGTATCCCGAGGCAGTGGCCCTAACTAATATCCATGTGGAGACCATAGTGGATGCCCTGATCCGGATATTCTCCCGAATGGGGTTTCCCAAGGCAATTATCTCGGATCGGGGTACCCAATTCACAGCAGAGGTCACTCACCAGTTGTGGAAAACATGTGGGGTGAAACCTATCGTAAATTCAGCGTATCACCCCCAGTCCAATGGGCTCTGTGAACGCTTCAACGGAACATTAAAACAAATGCTCCGTACGTGTCAGGAAACTGACAGGGATCCAATACGCAGAGTGCGCACAGAAGGAGGTACGTATACCGGACCTTAGAATGGCCGGACTAACGTAAGGACAAAGCAAGAATAGTCAAAAGGTAAGCCGAGGTCAAGGGAGCCGGAGGACAGGTAAGCGAGATACAATCCGAGTCAAAGGAGAGGAGAGGACAACAGGACAAAAGGCAAGCAAGGGTCAAAACCGGAAACACTAGATAAAGAACGCGCTGAGTGACTAGCAAGCTAGAACCACGACAGGGCAATGAGCAGTAGTAAAGGTTTCCTTTAAATACCCTGTTACCTAAATAGAGACCACGCCCCCAAAAGGTCCGGAATAGCGGTTCCCGGCACTTTATGCAAATGCCGACGTCATGACGTCGACGCTAGCCATCGCGTCATAAAAGGGGGAGGAGCTAGCGCGGCCGGCGCGAAAACGGCCGAAATATGCCGAAATGCTAGGGGAAGGGAGCCCCTAAGCAGAGAGGATGTCCTCCCTGGATACATCACCAACAGGTACCCTGACAGTACCCCCCCTTCTAGAAACGCCCACCGGGCGGATGGGACCTGGCTTAGAAGGAAAACGAACGTGGAAGGCCCGTAGAAGACGAGGAGCATGCACGTCTATACCAGGAACCCAAGACCTCTCTTCTGGACCATAACCTTTCCAGTCTATGAGGTATTGCAGCTTCCCCCTAGAAATACGAGAATCAAGGATGGACTTGATGATATATTCCTCCTGACCATCCACACGGACCGAGGATGGAGGAGTAGAGCGGGAGGAAAATCTGTTACAAACAAGAGGTTTCAATAAAGACACATGAAAAGAGTTAGGGATGCGTAGAGTAGGAGGTAGATCCAGCAAATAAGAAACCGGGTTGATCCTCCTCAGTACCCTGTAAGGACCAATGTAACGAGGAGCAAACTTCAAGGAAGGAACTTTCAGGCGAATGTGTCTGGTACACAACCAGACCCTATCCCCCGGAGAAAAAATAGGAGCAGGACGTCTACGCCTATCAGCATGTGACTTAAACACCGCGGAACTACGCTCAAGAATTTGTCGAGTCTGATCCCACAACTTTCTCAGGTTGGCTATATGAATATCAACCGACGGTATACCCTGGGAAGGAGACACCGACGGAAGAACAGTAGGGTTAAAGCCATAGTTCAAGAAAAAGGGGCTATTATGAGTGGAACCACAAACAAGGTTGTTGTGAGCAAACTCCGCCCAAGGAATCAGACCGACCCAGTCATCCTGGTGTTCAGAAACAAAACAACGTAGATATTGCTCAATTTTTTGGTTAGTGCGTTCGGCTGCTCCGTTAGATTGAGGATGATAGGCCGAAGAAAAATTCAGTTTGATGCCCAACTGTGAACAGAAGGATCTCCAAAAACGGGAAATAAATTGGGAACCCCTGTCTGACACAATCTCATTGGGAATACCATGTAAACGGAAAATTTCTCTAGCAAATATCACGGCCAGTTCGGGGGAGGACGGAAGTTTAGGCAAGGGAACGAAATGAGCCATTTTAGTAAACCTGTCAAGGACCGTGAGTATAACTGTATGCCTATTGGAAGCTGGTAGATCAACAATAAAATCCATAGCCAAGCAAGCCCAAGGTTTGTTGGGAACGACTAAGGACTGCAATAAACCACAAGGGAGATCCCGCGGAAGTTTATTCCTGACACAAACATTGCAAGCCTTGACAAAGTCTTCCACATCCCTACGTAAACCGGGCCACCAGAAGTCTTTTGAGATCAGGCAGTAAGTTTTGTGGATGCCGGGGTGACCAGCGATCTTGCTATCGTGGAAACAGCGAATAATGTCCACTTGGAATTTGGGAGACACGAACAAGCGGCCCACAGGAGTACGTTCGGGAGCAAGAGATTGCTCGTTCTGAATATCAGCGAGCAATGGAGAGTGTATTTTGACATTGGTGTTGGCGATAATATTGACTTCAGGAATAATAGGGAACAAAGTATCCTCTGTGGAGGTGGTAGGTTCGTGCTGACGTGACAAAGCGTCTGCCTTAGTGTTCTTAGAACCAGGCCTGTAAGTAAGCACATAATTAAAGTGTGTAAGGAACATAGACCAACGTACCTGCCTGGCAGATAATCTTTTGGCCTCCCCCATATACGATAAATTTTTGTGGTCAGTCAAGATAGTAACTGGGAGGACGGTGCCCTCTAACAAATGTCTCCATTCCTTTAATGCCATAATGATAGCTAAAAGTTCTCTATCACCAATGTCATATCTCCTTTCGGTGTGTGACAGTTTCTTGGAAAAAAAACCGCAAGGGTGCAGCGGCTTATCTAAATTTTGTCTTTGGGATAACACTGCGCCTATCCCTGTTTCAGACGCATCAACTTCAAGTAAAAAGGGTAGAGAGGTATCAGGATGAACTAATACAGGTGCTGAGGCAAAAGACTGTTTGAGCGTTTCAAAAGCAGATAAAGCCTCAGTAGACCAGGTTTTGGTATCGGCTCCTTGTTTGGTCATATTAGTGATAGGAGCGATAACAGAGGAGTACCCTTTAATAAAACGTCTGTAATAATTAGAAAATCCAAGAAATCTTTGTATGGCTTTGAGTCCCTTAGGTAAAAGGCCAATCTAAAATCGATTTTAGTTTGGTCGGGTCCATCATAAACCCGTCTTTGGAAATTACGTAACCTAAGAAAGTTACCTGAGACTGGTCAAAGCTACATTTTTCCAATTTACAATACAATCCATGTTGTAAAAGTTTCTGCAATACCTTTCTGACTTGTCTATGATGTGAATTAATGTCTCTAGAATGGATTAGTATATCATCCAAATATACAATTACACATTCATGTTGGAATTCTCTAAGAACTTCATTGATCAAGTCTTGGAAGACGGCCGGGGCGTTACAAAGCCCAAACGGCATTACGGTATACTCATAATGCCCGTAACGGGTATTAAATGCTGTCATCCATTCATCTCCCTGTTTAATTCGCACTAAGTTATATGCTCCCCTTAAGTCAAGTTTAGTAAAAATACTCGACCCCTTTAGTCTGTCAAAGAGTTCAGTAATCAAAGGAATAGGGTAAGCATTTCTGATAGTAATTTTGTTCAATCCCCGATAGTCTGTACAAGGACGTAAGGTACCGTCTTTCTTTTCTACAAAAAAGAAACCCGCCCCCGCCGGAGAAGAAGACTTTCTAATAAATCCCTTGTCTAAATTCTCCTTGATATATTCCTCTAAAACTAAGTTTTCCTTGGTGGATAGAGGGTATACTGTACCCCTGGGAGGCATAGTACCAGGGAAAAGTTTAATAGAACAGTCATAAGACCGGTGGGGAGGTAAAGTATCCGCCTTACCCTTGTCAAATACAGATTTGAGGTCTAGATATTGTAATGGTATCTGAACGTCTGTGGATTGAGAAGTGTTAGCATAAGAGTTCACGGGGAAAACAGAAGTAACTCTCTGCAGACATTCTTTCCTACAACCCATACCCCAAGAAACGATTTCTCCACCCTCCCAGTCAATCTGAGGGTTGTGTCTCTTGAGCCAAGAATATCCTAGAACCACTGGGACTGCCGGGGAGGAAATTAACAGAAGGGAAATCAACTCTTCTTGGAAAATACCAACAGTAAGCTTAACGGGTTCGGTCTCATGGAATATTACTGGTTCAGATAAAGGTCTACCATCTATGGCCTCAACGGCCAAGGGTGTATCTCTCAATTGGACTGGGATACAATGCTTATTAGCGAAAGTTTGGTCTATAAAGCTTTCTGCTGCTCCAGAATCTAATAATGCCATCGTAGAAATAAACCCCTTTTCCCAAGCTTGAGAGACAGGAATCAGAAGCCTATGGTCTTTTTTATTATGCATAGAGGACAGTAATGAAACACCCAAGGCCCGTCCTCTAAGGGAACTTAGGTGCGAGCGTTTTCCCGGACGATTAGGGCAACTAAGACGTAGGTGGCCACTCAGCCCGCAGTATAAACAGAGACCCTCCCTTCTTCTGTACTGTCTCTCAGCCTCAGATAAGCGAGTATTACCTATTTGCATAGGTTCTGGTAGAGTAGGATTATAGGAGTCAGGGTTCTGAAATGAGGGAGCGAGTCTTACAGGAAGTCTAGTAACTCTTCCCCGAGTGTTCTGCCTCTGTCTCATGCGTTCATCTATTCTGGAAATGAAGGATACTAAATCCTCTAAATTTTCCGGAAGTTCTCTAGTGGCAATTTCATCTAGAATTTCATCAGACAACCCATTCAAGAAAACATCCATAAAAGCTTGTTCGCTCCATTTCACTTCTGCTGCCAATGATCTAAACTCTAGAGCATATTCTACAAGGGTCCTATCTTGTTGTTTAAGGCGTAACAGGGATCTGGCCGCATTAATCTTCCTCCCTGGGGGGTCAAAGGTTCTTCTAAAAGCCGTGACAAACGCAGTGTAGTTGTAGACTAAAGGATTGTCATTCTCCCAAAGGGGATTGGCCCATCTAAGTGCTTTATCTATTAGCAGGGTTATAATAAAGCCTACCTTAGCCCTGTCAGTGGGGTAAGCCCGGGGTTGTAGTTCGAAATGTATACTTATCTGGTTTAAAAAACCACGACAAGCATCAGGCGAACCCCCATATCGTAATGGTGACGTGACATGGGAAGATGCGCCTACAGTGGCTACTTCCAAACCAGTACTTAGCGAGTGGCTAGCAGTGGAACGTATTTCTTCAGACTGGGTACTGGAGCGTGTCAACAAAGTTTGTAACGCTAAAGCCATTTGGTCCATTCTATGGTCCATGGCCTCAAATCTGGGGTCAGGAGGACTAGCACCTGCAGGATCCATCATGGCCCTGTCGTAATGTCAGGAAACTGACAGGGATCCAATACGCAGAGTGCGCACAGAAGGAGGTACGTATACCGGACCTTAGAATGGCCGGACTAACGTAAGGACAAGGCAAGAATAGTCAAAAGGTAAGCCGAGGTCAAGGGAGCCGGAGGACAGGTAAGCGAGATACAAGCCGAGTCAAAGGAGAGGAGAGGACAACAGGACAAAAGGCAAGCAAGGGTCAAAACCGGAAACACTAGATAAAGAACGCGCTGAGTGACTAGCAAGCTAGAACCACGACAGGGCAATGAGCAGTAGTAAAGGTTTCCTTTAAATACCCTGTTACCTAAATAGAGACCACGCCCCAAAAAGGTCCGGAATAGCGGTTCCCGGCACTTTATGCAAATGCCGACGTCATGACGTCGACGCTAGCCGTCGCGTCATAAAAGGGGGAGGAGCTAGCGCGGCCGGCGCGAAGACGGCCGAAATATGCCGAAATGCTAGGGGAAGGGAGCCCCTAAGCAGAGAGGATGTCCTCCCTGGATACATCACCAACAGGTACCCTGACAGTACGTTCATGGATACCCAGAAAGACTGGGAAAGGTTTCTTCCCCATCTG